TGTGGAGGCTTGAATAATTGGTGACAAAAGCAAGAAAAGTAATAATTGATTACATAATCAGATTTTAACAAGTGTGTGGTTGGCAGGTGCTTTCAGGGCTCTGGTGTGGCTTGCTCTTTCTTTCCTATCACAAACATCTATCTTCCTTATCTATCCTCCGTGGGTTGTTGGCAGGTGCTCTGGTGTGATTTGCTCGTTCTTTCATATCAAACATCTATCGTCCTTATCTCCTCTTCTTCTTTTTTAAGTTTGTTACTCTCTTGTAACACGCTATTCTCCTGGCGCTCATATGACCTTATGCTGTTGTGAGCCATAAAACCTCTACTAAAACTAAACCTTTGTGGGTTGTTGGCAGGTGCTCTGGTGTGGTTTGCTCCTTCTTTCCTATCAAACATACATCTATCGTCCTTATCTATCCTCCTCCTTTTGTGTGTATGTTACACACTACACAACTGCTATACCTCTAGGTCTTCGACGTTTGTATGACTCTTGATTGTGTTGTGAACGCCGGACGTATTTTGTTTTCCAAAACATCATGGGTGGTTGGTGGGTGCTCTGGTGTGGTTTGCTTCTTCTTTCCTATCAAACATCTATCGTCTTTTTCTCTCCTCCTTCTTTTTTGTGTTTGTTGCTCTCTTGTAACACCTCTAGTCTTCAGCACTTATATGACCTTATTGTGTTCAAGTGCCGTAAAACATTACTCAAAACGAAACATCATCACGTCTAATCGATGCTTTGTTTTTCTCTTCGGCAGGACGAGCAGTAGCAGCTCACTTTCCTTATCTTTATTCAGCGAGAGTGATTTGGCAGAAGCACCCTCCACCAGTGGTTGCAGGTAAGACTTTGTTTTTGTTTTTGGGGCTGTTTGTTGTTTGGGCACTTTTGTTTTTGGTGGGCTGGAGGGGTCATGGTGACGATATTCAGGGAAAGGCATTCTCAAGATAGCCTTCCCCCCCAACAGAATTTAAAAAGATTAGAATTATAATTTAAAGCATGTACCATTTTAAGAGTATAAAAATAATGTTATGATTGAAATTCCCCCCCCCCCCCAAATTCCGTTCCTTTGTAGAAAACGGTCCAAAAAAATTTTTTTTTTTTTTTAGTTTTATAATTTTCAAGGACTTATATTTTTATATTTATTCAGTGTTGACGGGTGCTCTGGCGTGGTTTGCTCCTTCTTTCTTATCGAACATCTATTGTCCTTATCTCCCCTTCTTCTTTTTTATGTTTGTTACTCTCTTGTAACACCTCTAATCCTCTGGCGCTCATATGACCTTATGCAGTTGCGATCGCCGCAAAACCTCTACTAAAACTACAACTAAAAAAATGTGCCAGGATCTCAACAGAGACGTATCTTATCTTATTTTATTGTCAATCGAATCAAATGTTCATTTTTCTTTGTCCCCCCCCCCCCCCTCCTGGGACAGCTCGGAGATGGCGAGCGCGATGCAATCCAAGGAGAAGAAGAAGGAGCGGGCCAAGGAGTTCATGAAGAAGCTCAAGTCCATGCTCCCCATGAAGGAGCGGACGGGCAAGATGGACACTCTGTCTACCCTGGAGCAACTGGTCAACTCCATGAGGCAGCTCAACGGTCAGTTGTTGGGGCGTGTATGTTTGTGTGTGTCTGGGTGGGTGGATGGGTGGGTGGGGAGGGGGAATTTGGAGCAGATGGTCAATGAGGCAGCTGAACGGTCAGTTGTTGGGGTGTGTGTGTGTGTATGTGTGTGGAGGAGGAGGGGGGGAATGA